CTGCATGTGTGTATCCTCAGACAATCCATCTTCTGCAGCTATACAGGGAAGCTAGCACAAAGCTGATCTCATCAACAAGGGAGCACATTCTTGGGTATGTAAGATATTGTACACTGTGTGTAGGCAGACAGCAAAAAGTACAAAGGCTTTAGGCCATGAAATATGCATCTCACATGCTGCCCAGTGCTCGACGCCTCGAAGCTCTGCACAGCACCAAGTGACTGAAGGAGAACTATCAGGACATACACAGTAAACACAGTAAACAGAGGTGCATGTCAATTCCCATATATTTGTAGAATCTACCTCTTAGAAATGTTTAGGAGAGAGAATTGATTCTTTGTTGTGAAAGAGTGTGAACGGAAACCGCACATGACAAGATAATTTATGGAGGATGCATTCATGCCAACAAACAGAGAACAAACAGGTCAATGCACACAGACAAATATGCGTTTCAATTTGTTTCCTCTGCCACCTGCATCTACCGGTGCTGTCCCCTAGTGGTGCAGATCCATGCCTGTTCTAGCGGCGCTTTTCTGACCTCTGGTGGAGCACAGTGACAGTAATGAACAGCTAGTCTGTGCTGTATGAATGCTAAACATACACTGTCATTCAAAAATACGGAATCACCAATCAAAACTTTGGATTTTTTAAAAACCAATTTAGTTACAAATACATGTATAAATGAATCAGTTATGGTTCTAATACTGTGTAATAAATTTTATATAATTACCAGAAACTAATTGCTGTGTTTAAAGAGATGAACAGAGCTTATAATAGTTACAATAATATTAATATCCAGTATGTATCATATATCTAAAATGCTTCACAATGGGAATCAAATCTGCAGGGAGACAAACTGATCAATTATTACTGCAAATAGATAATTAAGTAAATAGATAAAAATTATTTATCATTTCATAACCTTCTTCTTCCCAAAGCATCCAAAAACGTCTTTAGGTGTCTATTTTATGATGTTTAAATCTATAAGGCATATGTTATTATTATACATAAAATAGCAACAATCATTATGACAAGTGATTTCAAGTTTTTGAACAATAATGTGGAGAACAACTCGGATTAACATCTTGTTCCTACTATCCCAGTCCTAACATAAGGTTTTAACATACTGTTAAAATGGACAAAAATAGATATTAAAGGGCACATATCTTGAAAAACTATACTGCCACTCTGCAGTGCATACAGCCCATATATGAAAAGCAAGCAGCAAAAACAGCCACTTTTAAATTCACAGTTTTTGTGATGTCACAGAAAACAACACATTTACGTATATCTACCTATACAACCTACACTGCTGAGTCACTGTGAAGTTCTAAACAGTGCTGAGACACAATACAGAGCAGCCAATCAGCAGCCAATCAACTGAGCTCATTTACATACATCAGTGTTAAAGGCTTAAAGGCCCAGTAACAGAAGCAGCCTGTTTAATTGTAAGAGATAAATAGTGGTTGGTCATGGAAAAATAAAGTATCACTATTTTTGATATGTAAAGCCACACAAACATTAAAAGTGGACCTCAGGGAAAAAGTACAGTGATTCACCCGATCAGTAATGGATCATAATAATCAAGTTCTTGGGTTGATAAAGGAGTATGTATGGATGTATGTATGTAGACAAAACATTTTCTTTTCATGATGTGCAGACAGAGCTGTGCAGAGAGAGTAAACCGTGAGAGGGTGAATTAAGGCTAATGTGCAGTGCTAATCATCATTCATGTCCTCAGGTTTGGATTATTTGCCTTCTTAAAGAAGAGCTGAAGAGGAGAAATGAAGTTCAGGCAATAACAGCTCTGTATTCTTCATTCATTTGGTCTTCCATATATCCCTTTGAACCCAACTACATTCTCCAAAAAAGGTGTCACAGAGGATTCTTAGAGTGATGTAATAAAAGTACCACTTTTGGTTCCCTAAACAACTTGGAAAAAGTGATTTGTGAGTTGTAAGAACCTTTTAAAGGTTGGAAGATCCTTTACATAATGCAAAGGACCAATGTAAAGGCTCTTCATAGAACCTCTGCATTATGTAGATGTACTCTAAACTTTAAAAAGGTTCTTCACACTCACATATTCCATTTCCAAAATTGGGTAACCAAAGAACCACCCATTGAAAGTTTTTTAAGGGAATGAAAAGTGGTTCTACTGAGCACTGAGGACCTTTATTTTTAGGTAGAGAATCAGGTGTGTAGCAAACTGTTAAAAGAAAGGTTTAATCTTTATATTGTATTAGTTTAACTTAATTTAATCTCACGGACATTCAAATATTGTTCCACATGAGCTGCAAACATTTAATGAAGCACATTAACCAGCATGTGTCTCTGCTGCTCAGCTAGCTGTTTCTTATTAGATCTTCAATCCAGCCAAAGGCCAGCCAGCTCTGCTCTCATGCCAAATTCATCAAAACACAGCAGATGTGGAAGCATTACAAATGCAATGGGATGGAAAAGGTGATTATACAGGCTCTGTCGCTCACTCCCAAGGAGTTTAGTCTGTATTACCAACAGCCCTGGCATACCCACAAAGCAACAGCAATATTCCTTGTTTAATCTGGCTTGTAAATCTTTGAGAAACTGCACAAATCTGCAATCTTTCTCTGGAATATGGAAGGGAGAGCAGCTGCGATTCTCTCTGTAACCTCCTTTCATTACCTGCCTCTCTCCCTCCTCCCATCCCTCCTCCTGCTAAAAGTTTACAGCTCTCCAGCTCTCTCCCTTCCTCTGCTGAGTACAGTGTTTTCACTTAAGCCAGATAAAACACAACCTGCTCTCTGATTGCTCACCATGCATGGCTATTTTTAGCCAAATAATAACAATAATGGAATAACGCAGTTTGCTTAATTACAGGAGACAAATATGCAAAACAACAGAGAGAAAAAAGGATAAATAAAGAGACTTTCAAGAACACTTTACAAATTCTTTAGAGATAAAGTGGTGAATTACCCGAAAAACTGCTTTGGTTTGCTGTTATATCTAATTATTTCCAAGATGAATGTGTCAGCCAACTATGTCAACTTCACACAACTTCAGCTGTGCTGCACAAATCATCGTATTACTTAAATGCCAGAATTACTGTTTAACAAGAAAAAAAAAAACATTTCACAGGAGTAATGCTCAATATCTGCCATATGTGCCCTCATACATTTGTGTAACGCTCTGTTTGACACTAGCGCTGCTGGATTCTGTTTCAGGCCTGAAACTAAATTTAAAAATACCTCATATGAGAAATACTCTGAGAACCTCCTCAGCAGTCAAGGTTGCGGTTTGGCTCCAGCGAGGGTATAAATTGCAGTGGAGGACAGGTTTGGACATAGCTGCCATTGCTGGAATAGCTCTTTCTCTGTACACTGAGGCCCAGCAGAGGAGTGCAGGTGCAGGGAGGACTGGACACGTACTGAAATGCAACCCTGCAAGAGCATCAGGAGACGATTAGCAGGAACACGCTATTGTTAGTTGCACAGTGTCATGCTGTACGAAGAAGATTTCCATGTCTTGGCCTGCCAAGGATCAATGTAACTCCTAAGGCCTGAATTACAGTTACATTTGCTGTGTTTAGTAGATGTTTTTGTCCAGAGTGACTTACAAAAGTGCTTTGTTGACCGCTCAGAAAATATCCTTGAGGAAAGATACTGCAAAACATAAGAATCAGTTCTGATACCAAAATAAAAAAAACACAGTATATAAAACCTACACATAGAATTTCACAATACAAAGAAAAAAAGGTGCAAAAAAGGTGCTCATTCAAATGCTTTACAAAAAGATGACTACCTGGGGGCCAGAACAGAGAAGATGTGGTTTAGTATAGTGGTTTGTGATGTTTCTGAAATGCAGAAAATCAACAGTCTTTAAATACTTTCACTGTCATTAATGAGTGCCAGAATGCTGGCAATGCCCTCTGTGTATGTGCTTGGAGTATAAGGCTTATTTCTAGCCCAGGCCTCACTTAGGAGAGTAAGGGAACACACCGTTCACTACTATCACATGTCTGCCTGACAGACACAAACAAAGAATCTGAGACTAAACAGTTCAGATCACCTCTTTTCCTAAAACACTCTCACTCTAGGAAGTGACAATGGCAGGGCTCCATTTTAACAGAATATGACGAAAATCATCATATCCTTTGGAAAACTCCCATCCATCCCATTCCATTATACATTTACACTCCAAGTTGTCTTGGGTATATCAAGAGTTCATCACAAAATCCAACTAAGAATTTGAGCAAAAGTGTGTGTACACTAACAGGGAAAAATGTCTAATGACTGCAGAATTATAAAAAGTCTGTTGTGTACTTTATACATAGAAGGATGATCTAATCACAGTATAAAACCAGAGTATTGTTTGTTTAAGTATAGCTATTTCTACAGTTGCCCTGCAATGGACAGGCAACCTGTAATGGGTCTATCCTGCCCTCCGCCCAATGACCACTGGGATAGGCTCCAGAAGGATAAGCAGTTTAAAAAATGTTTTTGTGTATTTCTACATTTCATATTGCATATATTTCCAGGTTTGAGAATAAATTTCAAAATCACTACTCCTACAATTTATAAGAGACTTCAGAGAAAAAAGCCCAGACAGTTGAGCGGGTGTATTTACAGCCTAAGGCCCACCCCTGTCTCTGCCCACTGTACTCTGATTGGATGCATCAGAATGCTTAGTCTTGATCTTTGACAGTGGTTTCCTCCAAAGATGACAAATGAGAGACCCTCGGAAGAGGCCGAGGGGTGTATCAGCAATACAGTTTTAAATTTCAACACATTGTTTCAAACATTTATTTTGATACTGGTGTATAAAATACCTCCTGAGAAGAAACATTCAGAGAAAGTCACACAATCTTTCCACTAAAAGCACCAACAGTCAGTGAAACTATGTTCTGATGAAGGCTAGCATGAGTGCACTTGATGTATCTATCACTGTATGTGAGCAGACTGGTAAGGAATGGGAAGAAAGAGTGTAATGGGTGGAGAGACGGATGATCCTGGACCAGAGGAGGAGAAGGAGGAGGGCGAGTGGGGTGGGAATAGAAATGAGAATAACACAAGCCTGTTATCAGAGCTCCTCTTTCTCAAGGTCTTCAATGGCTTTGGCTGGAGCGCTCCTGACCAACCGCACTGCTCAGCAAGAAAGTCATTACCATTCAATCACCGTCCAGCAAATCCAAACAGACAGCACAAGGATCACTTGAGTGGCTGTGGAAGTCCAGAATCTGGTGATGGGGGCCTGCTGCAGACCACTGCACTGAAGACCTCCCTATGCTTTAGCTCAGCGAGAGTGTACAGGTCAACATACAACTACTGGTAAAGTGACATAAAAGCCATATCAAGCAGGACTGACTGAGCCAGACAGCAGGATGAAGATGATGGTCTTGATGATGATGCTGGGCTTCGGTCTCACTTGTCTCGTGGCACACACACACAGCACACATCTGGGATCTCCTACCTGCTCAGCCAACGGGACGACTCGCTCCTTCTTCTGTTTGGGCAGTAAAGTCCATCAGATGCCGAGTGACATTCCGAAAAATACCACATACGTGTAAGTATATATGAACACATGCACACAACAATAAAGTTCAGATGTGCTTAATTGATGCTTAACTGACTGCCTCCCCATATTAAATATTAAATATTAATTTAATGTCATGTAAGAGTAATGTAAATGTAATTATGGCAAAAGATTGTATTAATGATGAAACTGATAGCATAATAAAACAGTAAAGAAAACAAACTGAAACAGAAGTAAAATCACTTGAAATTTATCATTAAACTGGCTTAAGGATAAAAGTGAGGTGAGCTTTAGACTGCTCTGAACTGTTCTGAAGTTGCTGGTGCACAAACTTAAATTAATAATAAATTAAAATGTATAGCTTGATAAGGACTATTATTAAAATCAAAACATAAATGTGATATATGTGGCAAGCGTCCCATAAAGTCTTTAGAAAAAATTCATATGTTTATAATACACAATGAGCAAAAAGATCAATCCAAGAAACTATGAAAAATGATTGAAATTCAAATCAAATTCTCCTGATTGACAAAAGCAACAACATTCTATCGTGCAAAAATAACGTTCTGTTATTGTTTTCAAACTGCTTGTTGAAAACACTGAAGGCTTGGAAATTTGACTGACAACAAAAATACACCATGAGTTGTGAAACGTATCTTTTGCACTCTCAAGGCTATAGGACTTCACACACACTCACATACACACTCAGCCTTGAACTGTGCAGCAGGGGGAAGTTTAATAGTCTGTTTTTCACGCATCACAAGAAAGTACATCTTGTTTTTCACGCATCACAAGGAATGGCTATCTGCTAGCCTCATCAAGCATATTCAGCATGTTTGACTCTGCTGGGGAGGGGGACGGGGGAGAGAGAGAGAGAGAGAGAGAGAGAGCACATGGACATTTTCTAGGTTCATTAAGCCTCAGAGATTTGTTTGTTTTGGGATCTACTTCAGATGTGAGAGCAGTTTGCAGTCAGATTTGGTGAACTGAGCTGAGGTCATTCTCAAAGACATCTACCTCACTAGCTCAGCAGCAGCCATGCGCTGTGTTCCTCACAGGCCATTTTTAGCTGTTCCAGAGCTATTTGCTGCATTTCTGCATGCCTTTCCAGAATAGGGCTTTATGGTAACTGGCTACTTTTTAATTTTAGCCATTTTTGGGGGAGTGGAGGGTCTGTGGCAGTGTGGCTCAGTAGGATGAATTCACTACTTGATGAAGCTGGAACAAACAGTCCTGTGCTTGATAGGGACTGATAGATGAGACCCAGCAGTGCAGATGGTTTTCCTCATCCTACTTAATATGTTTACTGCAACTAACTGGACGCTAACTGCAACTAATTCTAACACTCAGCTATGCTCTTAATAACAAAGGTGCCAAAAACGGGTCTTGGAGGGATGCCACTGGTTCCCTCGAGCAGTGGTTCTTAAGCCAGTTTTCAGGTCCACTGCCCTAAAGAACTTTTCTTTGGAGAGCTTTTTGAGGAGCTATTGTTGTAAATGAGATGTGCGAGTGTGAAAAGTCAAATTAAGTTTAAAGAACTCCCACAAAAGGTAAAGTTTTTTTTTTCCCCCAAATTTAAGTTTTTTCCCAGTATGTCTAAGAACCAAAACTCTAATCTAATATTAATCTTGGCTAGTTAAAGGAAGCAAAAGTAAAGAAGTATAAAATGGTGTGCTAAAACTAACCGTGACAGACCCTCCCACAGATTTCGGCCCAATTCCATTTCTTATTTTTAGCCCTACCCCTTGTTTTTAAGTGTCACCTTGTCCCTTGGAACTGAGCTACAAGGGGTAATGGTTGAAATCTTCCCCTATGAAACGGGACAATCCTCAAAAAAAAGAACACAGGCTACTAACAGGCTACTAGTGCTGCTCTGTAGTCGACCCTGCCCGTGTGCAGTGATGGCAGAGGAGCGGTAAACCTCGCTGCTGGGCTTTAGTTAAATTATGGCATCATATGCTTTTAAAGAGGGGATGAGACAATTATTTATTATTGCCCACCTCTAATTCTTCTGTGATATGAAGCTGAAGTCAGATATTCTCCAGCTTCTTGTTCAAATTTTCCTGCTCCACAATAAAGCAGCAGTTACATTCTGGCGCTTCAGGCATCAGAACTGCTGGATCATTTGAGGTGGAATGGAAAATTTAGCTATCTAGCTATTGAGACATTAGCATACTATTAGCGTTGTTATGAAGTAAAGGACCAAAATACATTGAAATGACATTAAACTAGACAATACAATGGTCATTTTTAACAGAGACAATACTTACATTTGTGGGGTTTTTTGGTCACTCGCGCAGCCATCGTTTTTTTCTTTTTTCTCATAACACTCCATTTGGAGTGTGCCTCTGAAAAACCTTCGTTTGGAGGGCTATGTAGCCCTAACACTTCGGCCTACCCCTCTATCTCAACAGAAATCAGGACACCCTACCACATGAACACGCAAAACGAAGGGGTAAGGGCTAAGGGAAGGGGCAAGCGGTGAAATGGGATTGGGCCTTATTGCAGGATTAAGGTAAAGCCCTCTACATTGTGTGAACATTTCAAAATGGTCCAAAATCACTTTGCAATCGCATTATATTATGTTACATTCAGGAAGTTTTACATTTTTTTTCCTTTTCTTCTAAAATTTAGATTTCATATTATTACATAAATGTGTTGTTATGACAGTTTCAATATATTTGAATGAAAAGAATGGATCTTTGCCATTGAAAAAAAATAGTAAATGAGACATGTGGCTGTAAATCAAACCATGATCTAAAAAACCCAAAGAGATCAAATATAAAATTTAAATAAAAATTAATGGTGTTGTGACAATTCAAACATGCTAGTACATCAGTACTTCTACTAGAACTGTAGTCCTCATAAAAAACCTCACAGACGGAAAGAAAAGCAGCAGAGGACACAAACCACCATTCCACTGTAGACACTGTACATTCATCTTTTAAGATTGCCTGTAAGCACCAGTAACTCTTTCCATATCAGGACACCCCATCTGATCCCCATCATCTTCATTTCTGTCTTCTGCCTATTACACAGATCAATTTATACACACACACAAGGAGATAAAAGGACACCAACGTGTAAATATGGCACTGTGTTTTTTGCACTGTAGCAAAGGGAATGAAACATGCAGTTGTTTTTGTTTTTTCATGTAATAGAATAGTGTAAAATTCACATGGGCAAGTCAAGGCAAAGTTGTTTTCAAGTTGTTTTTTTTTCTACTGATTGCACAAGGTGTTACATCTTCTCCTTTTCACTTAAGATAAAGGGTGTGTTTACTACTTCTGTATGGAGGGACTGGTTTGGCAAAGAAAGCAGAGAATGCAGTACTACTTGTTATTCATTTTATCAGTATTCTGTTGGATAAAGTAGTAAGAAGTTCATTATGTAAGCTTGTACGAAGTGCATTACAGTAGATTTTCTTCTGCTTTATTTTGCTTTACTATAACCCAAAAAAACCCTGATATGGCTAAACTTTTTGCCATTACATTCTTTTTTTTACACATCTTATTTTGTTTGTGTATTTTAACTGTGGATTTTGACAGCAACAACAATAACAATAATAATGATGATGATGATGATGATGATGATGATGATCTAGGGATAGTAGTTAAAGTAGAATCCTACAGTCCTGTGCAAAAGTCAGGGACCACCTTTTTGTTTATTTAATTTCCTGTCAAAATAGTCATTAAGTTATTTATTTTTCAGTGTTAGGAAAAAAACAGGAAACATTTGTTTAACAAAAATGACACAGAAGCCTCAACAACTAAAAGTAGCATCAAATACATCAGTATTTACAGCTGCAATATGTAGGATGTTTTTATCCACTCAGAGAAGGAGGCTGTTTCGAAATGTGTCACTGACACTTCTTCAAAGAGTGTCCCCTCCCCTTCAAAGAGACACTAACAGTCACACCAGCAGCTACCCAAACACACCTCAGCTGACTTATATATTTCTTTCCCCTGTGTATCTAAATTGGCTAAAGGAGAGGTTAGATAGAAGATAATCTGCATGCATAAGGAAGAGGAAAATCAAATGAAAATAAGTTAAAGACTAGAGTTCACAAAATTATTAAAAGATATAGAGAAATGGCTTCTAATATAAAACTATGGAAGATCTGGTAGACCATCAAAAATGTCACTATCAGCTTTCAACTTGGAGAGAGAGGAGAAAATCAAGCTCCACTCTTGCTTAATTTCTGAAAAAATCCACTGGTGTTTCTGTCCATCCTTCCACTGCGAGAAGACAACTCAATACTACAGGTCTGAAAAGATGTGTAGCTGTCAAGAAACAGTTATTGAGAAAAAGAAACAAGAAATTTTTTACACAGAAACTGGACATATGAGATGTGAATTATGGTTTTATGGACTAAATTTGAACCTGGGATTATTTAGAGCAGAAAATACAACCAACTTCTAAGACTGGAAAAATATCCCTGCAGATTTCTTTGAAAAACTGAAAGAAAGAATGGAAAACACACTAAATACTCATAAAACTGATTATATTTGGTTGTTGAGGCTTTGGTAGTATTTTTTTTACTAAACATTCATTTCCTGCTTTTTTCCTGACACTAAAAAAAGTACTGACTTTTTTTAAAAAAAGAAATGACTTGTATTTGACAGTCATTTTACTGCAAATTAAATAAATAAAAGGGTAGTCTTTGACTTTTGCACAGCACTGTAAATGCCAAATGTTCAGGACATCCCAAATACAAACAACTCTATTCTTTTCTGTTGTGTCTCAGGTGCAAATGTCAAACTACACAAGTAAATACTATTCAGAGAAGTTGATTTAAGAACTGTAAGAGGTAAAACAATTACATTGAAGTTTTTATAATGAATGTGTAAAACATTTTGGAAACAAACATTAGCCTAAAGGACAATAACACAGATAGAAGTATAGAGTGCATGACTTTTGCACAGTGTGCGATGTATCCTGACACATGAGGTTCTGTTTGCTTCAAACAAGTCATTTACTGAGACATAATCTTCTGATTGTGAGCAGGGAGATCAAGCTGACTCAGATCAACGTGTTTCCAAAATGGGCCATCTCATCACTTCATGAGCTCAAGAGAATGTAAGTAAAAATCATAAACAGCCACATTTCTGAAGAGTGATGAGAGCTTGCTTGTGCCTGTGTTTGTGCAGATGCAAATCCACTATGATGGGAAATCTCATCTAATAATGGTCCACACTATATCAAGGCCTGAGAAAGATAATGACAGGCAAAACGTCTAGGATCATGAGAGCTCAACAGCTATTTAGTTTAGGTTTGATGTGAAAACTCATATAAATATAAAGTATTTAGTCTTGATTGAACATGTTTAGTCTTTGACATAGAACATGATGTGTAATAGAAGTGTGAAACACGGGACACATGAATCACAGAAATATAGTAGCAGAAAAGAAAAATTGCATGTGCTCTTTGGTTTACAAATGGAACTTTAACAGCTGAGATAAAAACGAAATGATCTTTGGATTAGCATTGCAAAGTTGTTTCCTCAGGAAAATCATTATGTGCATAGCCATTTACCCGGCCACTTATGTAAACAGTAAATTCTTGCAACTGAATTAGGCTTTTAGCTCCTTCATTACTGTTGTTGTTTGTGTAGCACTGATGATGATGTCTGTGTTAAATGATCATTACCACTGTTCTCACAGAATGGTGTCTGAGAACGGTGCCCTCAAGGAAATTGGAGCCTACGCATTTGCAAACCTAACCAAACTAGAAGAGATGTAAGTTTTAGCTCTGCCAGCCTCAATGGAAACAAAACATTTATTCTATTTAATCAATTTTACCAATGCTAAGGGACTTGAAATATGGACATACAACCCTCATGCATGCACGTTTCTGTGACATTTAAACAAGTATAAGAAATGCAAAGAAAAATAACACTAAATAAGTGAGTTTCATTCCTTTGATTGTAAAATATATTTTATTAAGATCAGTTAATAGTACTTGCTAAGATGCCTTGCACTGTTTTCTACTAACAGAACTATTACTAAATCAAAAAACCTTGTGAGTATGGAGAAAGAGACCTTCTGGAGACTTCCAAAGCTGAGATATCTGTGAGTACACGATTTCCTGTATTTCTGTGTTTTCTGCAGGGAGGATATTCTCACAAGTTACTGTCTAAACTGAGTTATGTTATAAGCCCTGTAGGCCACAATGACCCAAGCACAGGTCATTACTGTATCAAACATTTCTCACAGGAAGCCCACAAAACAAAAATGGCCCATTAACAAGCCACTTTTACTAAATGTGCATCAGTGTGTGTGTTTTCAGGACTATTTCAAACACCGGTCTTACAGTCCTTCCTGACTTCACCAAGGTCCAGTCTGCTGCTCTTGAATTTTTATTGTATGTATATATGTATCTTCTTATACACAACATGTGTAAATTGTCATCAGTAAGCATTTACTCATGGTTCCTGACTGTGTTCATGTGGTGTAACTGGGTGTAACTGGGACCTTAGTGTATAGTTATGCAGGGAGTATACAGCTATGCAGTTTTGCAGATTCAAAATAACTCCACAAAGAAACAAACGTCTGGATGAAAGTATGTATCAATGTATAAAACTTTATGACTGTAAGCTGTCTTAACTTTAAATTTACAATGTCTTATAGTGACCTACAAGATAATATGCACATAAAAGTGATACCCAGCAATGCTTTCCTTGGACTTACAAGTGGTATCATAACTGAGCTGTAAGTATATTCTGAGGGGTGATCATTAATTGTCCTTTCCATAACTGCAATTTTTGTGGTAACACATTACATTTAGGGCTGCAGATTAAGTGATAATTATATGCCAAGAAGTGATCAAATATTAATTACTTATGAGTTCATTATTTATTTATTGATTAAGTATTTAGTCATTAGTAATTAATTACACTGCTAACTGATGGTTTAGTTAGTTAGTAGTTCATTGCTCATTTACCCATTAACTGTATACTAACTGCTGCTTATTACACTGCTTATGAATAAGTGTTGTTATTCATATAAAGAAGTAATAACTAGGACTTATGAGTTAGTCATGTTAATTTATAGATTTATTGTTAATTCATTATTACTTTGTACCCACTATGATAGACAGATAGATAGAGAGATCACTTTATTAATCCCAGAGGGAAAGTCATCCATTACAGCAGCACAAAGTACAGTAAAGAGCAAAAGTATTGTTGTACGCTATTATACAGATGCACAAATAGAAGTAAAGATATGTAATAAAATATGAGTAATGAAATCATTTTTACTACCAATTAAACTACAAACTCATGATGAACACTAAACTAGTTAGTGATATCCTAACTTCTCTCTAATTGTTTTAGTGTTCCTTAAAGTAAACTGAAGAATCTATTTACATTACCAATTCATGGTTTTTCTAAATGATGCTACACAATACACCAAAAGGATAAGAATAACTCATTTTTTATTCAAAGGAAAATGAGTACTTTACACCTGCATATCTCATCCAATGACAAGTTAATTAGGGATCCACAGTGGGATTCACAGTGAAATATGTATAGGCTGCTCTCAATCTGGAATTTAGAGTATAATTATTAGCAGTGAAGATCGTCACTTTACTTAGAGGGATACATAAAGCAGTTTTTAATGGTTAATTATCATGAACAATTAAGCTATGAATGAGCAACAAAGTTATCAGTTTAAAGTGCAGTTACTAATTAGTACATTTGTAATTACTAATTACTAAGTACATAATCAGTTACTTACTAATAAGTAATGCTTAATGCACATTCAATTAATATACTAATAATGAGTTGTTAATGACCTATTAATAACATAATTAAGCTTTAATCTGTGACTGTTAACGTAAAGTTGTACCATTCTTGCTTCTTTTACCTGAACTATCTGAGATAAATAAATGACCCTCTAGTGGCATCACTTATACTATCTGTATCACAACATGGACACACTGGTAACACTTTATGGCAGTGTTCATAAGACTACATGATACCTACATTAGCCCATGAGTAAAGACAAGTGACAAAAAACTTTGTGTCCTCAGTCATAAAGTCTGCTTTTGTCAACTTTGACAAGAGTGACATGGATTTTTTTTTCTGACATTGGTTTGTGTCATGACAGTTTTTTTTTGTTTGTTTTTTGATGATATGTTATAAAATCTGACTTGAACTGAATTGAATTGAACTGAATTTAATAAACTTTAATTGTCACCTATGGGCAGTCCATAACTGGATATATAAACATATGACACAAACATATAAGGTAGAGACATCTACAGACAACTAAAGACAGACATCTTCATAGATCTTCATTATTAGTAGGAATAATAGATAAATAAATAAAATACATAGTAAGCACACAGCTTACCGTAAATGATCAATGATCAACCTGATGGCCTCAGACACAAACAACACTCTCTATTGGACCGACCAACATCTAGGGCAGGGATAATGGTGGCCCAGGGGCAACAACTCAAAGGCAGGGTAGAGGACATGTGAGGGGTCATTAATGGTAGAATGGCCTTTTTTTTAAGAGTTTGTTGTTTATATAATAAAGCCAGCGTAAGACCAATTATTTCGGCACAAACAGATTTAAACCAGCAAATGAAGGAGAATGAAACAAGGCTCTCAATAAAAGAGCTATAGGAAGTGAAATAGATGAACTCACTCAAAAAGATTTTAACTTCCTATGAAAGTAAATGCAATAATAGCATTTTTTAAAGAATTGCCTCTGTATTCTCCTCAAACTTTAGCATCTCATCAAAATTGTATCCAAGTACTTCTGAGTATTGACTCTCTCTACAGCCCAACCATTGACTTGTGTGTCCATTTTAAGGGTTGCAACATAGAAAAATCCTCTCATTGTTTTTAAAATATTCATTTCCAGACATGAAATCACATCATAATTTAGACCATAATTCCTGCAAGACTGTACCATGTTCTTGATCTGCCCCAAAAAGCAGAGACAACAAGACTGTCATCTGTAAATTTTAAAATATGGCAATTTTCATGTGCAATCACCCGTATACAGGATGAATAGCAAGGGAGACAACGCCCATCTTCGGGGTGAACCTGTACACACAACATCATTCATCAAAGATTTCTGGAACAATTGCTGTAATACAACCTCAAGCACAGTATCTTTGTGTCTTACCACAAATTCATCTGGACCTGCAGTTTTATTAATAACAGCAACTTTAAAACACCTAGAGACTTTGTAGCCTCTGTGTGGGTATACACACTGACACAATGCTGATGATGTGACATTAAATGTTATGGTAAAATGAAACTCCCTTCACCTAAGAGCAACAGAAAATGTTCACTTTTATTCAATTAGCCTGACTTGGCAAGCTCTGTCATATTATCAGCATTACGTCACTGTGAAATACTATGAGCTACAAAGTCGATCATTTCACCCCAGAAAGTGACAACACAATGTCACGAAAAATCAGTGTCACCTGACATCATAGTTGGCAACAACCTTTATGACAAATGATACCTATTGGAATAAGTGATTATAGTTTTTGGTTTGTTTTAGTAATGTAGCCTTATTAACACTGCTCTACAGTAAAGTGTTACCAACAAATCTGTTACCACTGATATGCTTGTTTACCCAATTTCTGTTATATTATTATTATTATTATTATTATTATTATTATTATCATAGGAGGCTGACAAAGAATGGAATCACTGAAGTGGAGAGAAATGCCTTCAATGGAACCAAAATGGAAAAACTGTGAGTTTGTTTCTTTGTTTGTTTCCAAGTCCTTATTTATTTATTTATTTATTTTTATATAACAACTTTAATTCAATTCAAGCACCCAAATAGAATAGAATCTACAACGGAATCTTAAACATATGTTTTTACCCCCACACCTCTTTAGTTTTCTCATGGGAAACCAACAACTGAGGCATATCCACAGCTACGCCTTTCTAGGAGCTGAAGGCCCCGTCGTTCTGTAAGCATGACCAGTTTCACAGTCAACAATAATCCGGCCTGCCAGCTGCATCACACAAGTAGTCAAGTCAAGTCAAGTCAAGAGGCTTTTATTGTCATTCCATCTATGTACAAGTACACAGTGGAGCGAAATTACGTTCCTCCAGGAACAAGGTGCAACAAGGAACAAAAAGTACAAAGGTACAAAACTACAGAATTACAAAGTGCAAACGTGCAGACAGTGTGCAAACAAAAATTAAGCTAGGAACAATACAATAAATACGATAAATTAAACAGACATTAGACACAGTAAACAGACCGGACGGTGTAGCACCGACACAGCATAGATTTCTGGACATGAGGTAGTGGAATAAGGTGCAGACATATTAACATGATGTGATCTGTAAGTTGCGTCAGATAACATACATATACACAACAGTTACTGAGGTAGTAAACAGTTACTGAGGTAGTGAAAACAGTGTAAACACAATGTAAACACAGTATTGGCAACAATGTTCCAGATAGATAGTGCAAGTAGAGTATCAAAAGAGGTGTGTATGAGTGTGTAAGGGGGGGGGGTTAGTTTAGTCCTTGTGAGTTTAAAAACCTGAATGCTTGAGGGACAAAGCTGTTGCAGAGTCTGGCAGTGATGGCACAGATGCTCCGGTACCTTCTGCCAGACGGCAGCAGTGAAAAAAGTCTGTGTGAGGGATGGATGGGGTCGTTCACGATGCTGGTGGCTTTGCGGATGCAGCGTGTGGTGTAGATGTCCATGATGGAGGGGAGAGAGACCCCGATGATCTTCTCAGCTGTCCTCACTATGCGCTGTAGGGTCTTGTGGTCGGAGGCGGTGCAATTCCCAAACCAGGCGATGATGCAGCTGCTCAGAATGCTCTCCACAGTCCCCCTGTAGAACATGGTGAGGATGGGAGGGGGGAGATGAACTTTCTTCAGTCTCTGTAGGAAGTAGAGGCGCTGCTGGGCTCTCTTGGCTATGGAGTTGGTGTTGAGGGACCAGGTGAGGTTCTCTGTGATGTGGACGCCGAGGAACTTGGTGCTCTGGACGATTTCCACAGCAGAGCCAGTGATGTTCAGTGGGCATCCACCACCATCATCCCTGTGCCAAAGAAGTCTCCAGTGTCCTGCCTCAATGACTACCGTCCCATTGCACTCACTCCAATCACCATGAAGTGCTTTGAGAGGCTTGTCATAAGGCACATTAAAGACCAGCTTCCTCCTTCACTGGACCCACTGCAATTTGCATATTGCCCCAACTGCTCAATAGATGACGCCATCTCCACCACACTCCACCTGGCTCTCACCCATCTGGACAATAAAGACACCTATGTCAGAATGCTGTTCATAGACTTCAGTTCAGCATTCAACAGCATCATCCCTCAGCAGCTGATTGGAAAACTGAGCCTGCTGGGCCTGAATGCCTCCCTGTAACTGGGTCCTGGATTTCCTGACTAAGAGACCTCAGTTAGTCAGGATAGGTAATAACATCTCCAGCACCACCATACTGAGCACCGGCGCCCCTCAGGACTGTGTGCTCAGTCTGTTGCTGTTTACCCTGCTGACTCATGACTGTACTGCAAAGTACAGCTCAAATCACATCATCAAGTTTGCTGATGACACGACTGTGGTGGGTCTGATCAGCAAGAATGATGAGTCAGCGTACAGAGAGGAGGTGCACCAGCTAACAGACTGGTGCGGAACCAACAACCTGTCTCTGAATGTAGACAAAACTAAGAAGATGGTTGTTGACTTCCGAAGAGTGCGGGGGTAGCCTTTACACCAGCATGTGTGTCATTCTCAGAGGCTTAAAATCAGCCATGCAGCCTCTCTGCTAGCTGACCACCCCCAGCTCCTTTCTTCATCCTGTTCTTAAAATGTCTTGTACAAATCCTAATTACAGCTTTTCTAGTTCTCTTCATTCTTGCAGAGGTATTACCACGGTCTATCTACTAATCTGAACTCATTACAATGCATTTTCACATCACATGCACATCGCTTATCATAAAAAGTCAGTTAAGTTTCACAGTCACATGCAGAAAACACTAGAGCAAGTGCAAATTGAATAGTTAGTAACTACTACACTGAGACTGAGCAAAAGATGCTGTTTGGTAAATCACCCAACAATTGAACATGAGGCTGATGTGGGTGTTTGTGCAGAGACATCTCTCGTACCGCTGTCAGTGCCTTACCAGAGAGCATGCTGAAGAGTCTGAAGCTGCTGACTGCCATCTCCGTCTACTCCCTCCGATGGTTACCCAGTCTGGAGTTGTTTTCCGAGCTCACTCAGGCCAATCTGACATACCCCAGCCACTGCTGTGCCTTCAAAAATTTCAAAAAGAACAAGTGAGTAAGCCCACATCACAGAGGTATGCTGCACATGATACACATACAGAGACAGCTTTAGGGGTGGGTGAAATCACAAAAACATAACACAATACTTCTAGACATTTTTACATGAGATAAACAATGTATTCCCTTTTTTTTTGATTGATAAGTTGTAGCAGACAAGAAAACACTAGCAGTGCTGCATATAGAAATATTATCAAAAACTATCAATACAATAAATGTATTCTACTCACATTCTGTGCTGCACTTGGACTTAATTAACCAGGCCTAATTATGGTCTCATTGATATGAAACATTCAGTAAGGCATATTGTGAGGAAATGTGGTTTACTGTACTGTAAATTAGCAAGATGACATTAAATATTGTCACATTTCACACCTCTAAATAGCTTACAGAAATCTAATAGGGTGTTTAAAAAGTGGTGCACTAATCTTTACCCCTAAACACCTCACTTCCTCATATTCATATAATTGCATAACTTAGATATTAGTTTCTTAGTACTTTCAAAAATAAAAGTTTATAAATGATTCTCGGTGATGATTAAGACCGTTGCATGATGTGGATGTTCTTTAAACTTAAGTGGGTTCATCGCACTTACACATCTCATTTACATGTCTTGAAATGACCCTTTTGGGAAGCTTAATTTTTAAGGAGTGTAGTTACAGACTGCATCTGCATCTCTATTTTTGTTGATTTTTGTGTCATTTAAGCGCATCAGCTGTCCTTCACATTGTGTAAAAATGTGATGTTCACGATGTATGGACCAATAAAAATGCTTCAAAATTGTTTGTAAAAAAATCTTTACATCGACTTATATTGAAAGTAAAGAACGTTTTTAGCCTTTCCTGTAAACTTATTATTTTGGAGATTTTTCTTTGGACAGCGACGATAAAGTATACTGTATTGAATAAGGCTTAAGATTAATAAGTGAATTAAAGGACTCTTATCATGGAAAACTGAATTTTCCTTGCTTTTTTTGAAATAAAGGAGTTTGAAGTTAATGTTATATGTTAACACTGTTAAAGTTTCAAAATGTACCATTCAGTTTATACAGTCCATACATGGAAACCATGCTGCTAAGACAGCCATTTTGGAATTCATTGTTTCTGTGATGTCATGAAAACTTTTACATCTTTTCACCTATTCAGCCTACAGCAGTTTAGCTCTGCCAGTTCTCTATCCAAGCTCTAGCCTCAGCTCTGAGTACTTTTTTACATGAGAACAGAGCTCATTTCTCTTATATCAGTCTTTGTGTGTGTATACAGATCAGAGAAGAACCATTTGTGCAATGATCCTGCTCTCCGTAACCTGGAGCCGTACTTTTTTGAGGAACACTGTAAGGATGTGACAGCAGTGAGCTGCTACCCGGAACCGGATGCCTTCAACCCATGCGAGGACATAATGGGCTTCACCTTCCTGCGGGTCCTCATCTGGTTCATCAGCATCCTGGCCATCGTTGGCAACTTCATTGTTCTCCTGGTCCTCCTCAGTAGCCGCTACAAGCTCACTGTGCCCAGGTTCCTCATGTGTCACCTGGCCTTTGCTGACCTCTGCATGGGCATTTACTTGCTCATGATTGCTGCTGTGGACATCCAGACCCGTTCCCACTACTATAACCATGGCATCGATTGGCAGACTGGCCCTGGCTGCAGGGCAGCCGGCTTCTTCACAGTTTTCGCCAGCGAACTGTCTATGTACACTTTAACGGCCATCACACTGGAACGCTGGCACACCATAACTCATGCCATGCAGCTGGAGAGGCAGCTGCGCCTGCGCCATGCATGCGCCCTCATGGCGGTCGGCTGGCTTTTTGCCGTGCTGATCGCACTGCTGCCCATGGTGGGTGTGAGCAGCTACATGAAGACCAGCATCTGCCTGCCCATGGATGTGGAGACAGCGCTGTCACAGGGCTATGTAATACTACTGCTGCTGCTCAATGTAGCCGCCTTCCTGTGCGTTTGCGTCTGCTACCTGCGCATCTATGTGACCGTGCGCAACCCTGCCTTCGTGCACTCTCGCGCTGACATGCGTGTGGCCAAGCGCATGGCTGTGCTCATCTTCACCGACTTCCTATGCATGGCACCGATCTCCTTCTTTGCCATCTCAGCGGCGCTAAAGCTGCCGCTCATCACCGTGTCGCACGCCAAGGTGCTGCTGGTTCTCTTCTACCCCATCAACTCATGTGCCAACCCCTTCCTCTACGCTTTCTTCACCAAGACCTTCAAGAAGGACTTCTTCATGCTGGCTAGTCGCTTCGGCTGCTTCAAGACACGCGCACACATCTACCGCACGGAGACCTCTTCGGGCCAAAATGGGGCTTGGCCAGTTTCTCCAAAGACCAGCGACGGAACGCTGTACTCACTGGTGCACCTCAGTCACCCTCACTGAGACTGTCTGACCCCCCGCTGACCCCTCTATGCCCCAGAGGCCTTCCACAACAGTGAACTGCAAGCTGCTCTTATCATGTTCCCTTACAAATGTTCCCTTCTGTGCTGCTTGGACTTCAAAACACAAACAGGAAAAAAAGAACTTAATATATTCCTACCATGTACACAATTTGCTACTATTGAATTGAATAATTCCATTGTAGCTATTGCGTCTTTAGTCTTAAAGGAATAGTTTGGCAAACAATCAAACCAACTTAGCTTTCTCCTAAACTTAAAGGAGAATTCCATTTTTTTTTTTTACATTTTCTACATAATAAAGTCATTCAGAGAGGTTTGATGTGAAACTCTCTGTTATAGAGAAACATATCGAGTCCAAATTTTTCACAGTGATGGTGATGGGAACCAGACGTCCAAAGAGTTTAATGCCCCTAAAAGTAACCTTGTGGGAATCCTTGTGTCAAAATATCCACATAATTAAATTGTTAAGATGTAAACAGGGTCATTCTGCGTGGTCTGATGTGAAGTGCTCCATTCTAGAAAAGCTTGATCACAATGGTGGTCATAGCATCTGAAGTGTTCAATGCCTCTAAAAGTGACCTCATGGAAAGATCTTACATAAATGGTTACGAATACACTGTCTGAAGCCTAATACACCATTTATGATAGTTTTAAGATGAGATTTTGGCTTAAAACATATTTTCAAGATACATTCAGGGTGCATGCAGGGTGTTCTAGGCCTAACTAGTATTTTTCCAGATGTACCACTATTTTACCATTATCAACATGACATTTAAAAACTTCAAATATGAAAAAAAATTAAAAAGACATATGTAGGTTCACTGGTCATTTTGAATAGTGAATAAAATGGTCATATTTGTGTTGCAGACATCCCGACTCCTGGTTCCTATCACCAACACTGTAAAGAAAACAGATTTAGTAGGTTTCTCTACAATTAATAATTTCACATCAAATCACCCTGAAAGACTTTGTTTACGTCACTATGATTACACTACACAGAAAAATTGGTGGAATTTCCCCTTAATGTAGTCATTCAGTAGTGGCATGTCTTGTGTCCTTAGTTTACATCTTTTGTTTTTGCAATCAAGCTGTGCTAATGTAGCTAACAAGTAATGGAAGCTTAAACAACACCATTTCCAAAAAAGTTAGGACACTGCAAAATGTAAATAAAAACAAGGCAATGATGTGCAAATCATTTAACCCTATATTTAACTGAGAAAAGTGCAAAGACAAAATATCAAATGTTGAAACTGAGAAATGCCATTGTTTTTTGAAAAAGATATGCCCATTTTGAATTTGATGCCAGAAACACGTTTTAAAAAAGTTGGGACACGGTTGTACACCAAAAATTGCTAAAAACAAGAGCAGCAACCATCTTGAAGCCTGAATTGTGTCCATACTTTTGTCTTTTTAACAGTATTACAGTATATCATACAGTGTCGGAAAACACACAGGCAAGTCTAATTTTAATTACTTACTTAACAACTTGATGCAGGTTTACATTTGTGGTAAAAGAAAAAAATGTTTTCATTTCTCACCAAACTATTCCTTCAAGAACGCAATAATAATAAAGTTTGTTTTGTTTTGTTTTGGGTGAGGAACAACATATTTCATGTTTCATTGTAAAGGGCCCATATGGTAAACTGAATGTTGCTTGCTTTATTTGAAATGAAAGAGTTTGATGTAGTATGTAAACATAATATAAACAAATAAAAACATAAAAATATAAAAGTTTCAAAATGTACTGTTCAGTTCATACAGTCCCCAAGTGGAAACTAAGTTGCAGTAACAAACTGTTTTGAATTCCCTGTTATTGTGATGTCACAAAAACCAATACATTTACAAATATCTGCCTATAAAACCTACAGCTGTTAACCCCGCCCACTCACAAGTTATAAGGAGCACAACAGGGCAGCCAATCAGAACAGAGCTCATTTACATATATCAGTCTTAAAGACACAGCAACGAAAACAGCCTGTTTAAAACTAAAGGATAAAGAGAAGTTGAAAAATGGTCATGTAGAAATATTTCTGGTACATAAAACCACACAAATATTTTAAGTAGACCTTGGTGTGGGAGTGTAGGATATGGGCCCTTTAAATATGACAAAATATGACAGTTGCTCCTCTGGAATAAAATGCTGAAAAGATATTCGGTAATATATTAATGTAACATACATATCCAAGGGCAGACTGTGAAATTATTAACAACACTCGTGTAGTCTAGCATCATCTAATACCTAGAGTGTGCTATGGGTATGAAGGTTAGCTCTTCGGTAAGGCCTTTATCCATCTATAATCCTCAATAAGAAAAGTGTTCAACTCCAAATGCAGTTGGTATTAGGTAGTTAGTATTGTTTTGACAACAACGGCTGTTGTAAGTTCAGACACTGAATCTGAACATGGATTTGCAGTGTGAAGGAAAAAGGTGGCAAAATCCCTCATTGTCATATCACTGTGATTACTTGATCTGTTAAAAGAAAATGACTGACTGTTTTTGCCTGGAAGATAATGACCACACAGTCTGTGTAATGCTGTATGAATCATTTTCCATGTTTTTCTTCCACCACGCAAAGCCAATCAGGACTTATCTTGGCTTGGACAAATGGACATTAAGTGCTTAACTACTAAGTGGAAGGGTCAATTATCCAGACACATATTAGGCTCGGATTAAATTACACTGTGAGGAGGACCTGTCAGCAGGTCCAATGGACAAAGAGCATTACACATTCCAAACTGTGTGATAATCTTTTTTGTGTAAGTAGCTGTTTCACATTACATAATTAATGAGATTAATAGGTTAGAGTTAGGATTAAGATTAGAGTTATGTTCTGAGTTAGGATTAAGATTAGGGTTATATTCTATCAGTTCTGTGTATGCATATACAAAAAGTCATATAGATTATGATATAGAGGCACTTGAATACAGTTTCTCTCTCTCAGCCTTTGAGCTCTACCTTCAGGTGCATCTTTAGGTGAGGGCATCTTAATCTGATCTTTAATCTGACAGATTAGAAATATGTTTTGCTCTGTGTCATAAAATCAGCTTTGTATCAAATATTGTTATTGTCATATCAAAACCTGGTAACCTAATTTTTTGTCCTTTACATTGTGCAAACATTTCAGAACAAACAGACTAAATAAATGGTCGAAAATTCCTTGGAACAAATCTTGCACGTTAATGTACCTTAAATGTATTTCAGAGGTACAAAGTTTTGTTATGACAACAACAACATGTAAAAAAAAAAACAAAACAACAATCTTAAAAAGTTTTTGTGAAATTTCTTTGGTGGAGGCTTACAAGATCAGTGAGTAATACAGGTATTCTGACATGGTGCCTTCTGTTCTGGAAATCTGTGATGTTGAATTGACCGCATCTCATCTAAACAACAAATAACAGGAAACTCTCCAGCTCTCTGTGTGAGGTTTATCGTTAAAAAAAGGCCTTAGAGAAGGGATGTGTGGAACATAAGCTCTTTAGTAAGAGAACACTGCCGTACCTTGTCCTCTTATCCCTTATCACAAATCTTTCTTCGTTTAGCACATCCAGTATGTTCAGTGTCACAGTGACCTCACAGCCAAGTCCAGATGTTGTACCAGAAGAGACATGTCTGTGTAGGGATACAGAGGGAGACACAGAAACAGAACAGTACAGAAAAAGGGAGTACTGTAGTGTAAAATGCACTGAAAATATATCTGAATGAGAAAAAGCAGCGTTTCCAAATATTTTAATTTACTTTATATTTGCCACGTCCTTGTCCAAACTGGCATGAATCGCAACCCTGAAGCACTGTATTTAGCTTATGCGCCAGGCTAGGGGTCGTTCCAGCACAGCTTATCTCTGCACCTGCACTGGTTCTAGGCAACAAGACAGAGGGACGGTTGTTCATTTTCCTTTTTTGAAATTTTCAGTGTTTCAAAGCCTGGGTGGGAGTAAGGGATGTGTGTGGCAGCTGCAGCTGGGCTCCATAGCCTGAGTACACACAGGAAGAGGAATCTGGTATGAAGATATGGCTCAAGTACCAAGGCCTGGAGTTCAAGGCTGCAGGTCAAGGGCCTAGTGGACAGCAAAAACCACACAGAGAGCAAAAGAAAAAAAACACAAGGGTAATTTTGCACCAATTAATATCATTTACACATGTATCTGTCTGCTTATCTATACACATTCCATGCTATTACAAAGTGCCATTAATGACCTGTGTCAAAGTAGCACTTCCTCAATGATTTAGATAAGACCAATTTTTACTAACTTTCCCCAGCAGGTGGCACTATTGTTCAATAAAACCAAATTCCAGGCTTGTTTTTAGTTTTTTAATTACAAAATCATTCAAAGTCCGACTTCTCTACTTCTCAGTTATGCTTCTGAATCACAAGTGAGAGAGACGAACATAAAAGAAACCTTTTTTATTCTGTAATACCATATATAATGCAACAATTGCATATCTTTGGCAAAAAATAAACTTTATAAACATTTTATTAACAGAGGTTAGCTTACAAAACCAAAAGGTTGAGTCTGTCAGACAGACATGGCAGACATATGCGAGCAAACTGATTGGATTGGCAGCTCTGAATTCGTGGGACATACTTAATAATAATGATAATAATAATGATTATAATAATAATAATAATAATAATAATAATATTAGGGAAACAATTATCACTCTCCCGTATCATGAGGTTGCCAGAAGCTGAATCTTTAATTCAATATTACTGGTTTGGGAGAAGCAAGTGCCTGCTTTCATTGCCTTCAAACGTAATACTACAGTTCTGCCCTCCTCTAAACCCTCTCTAATAATACTTGCATTCTGTGTTATCACTATGTACAGATCAAGGGAAATTGGTAGCCTTGGTGAAAGTGGTTGGACAACAACTTCACAACAGTAGGCAGTTTAAAGGGACATTCCATCGATTTTTAAAAATTTCCTCATAATTAAATTGTTAGGATGTAAACAGGGTCATTCAGACGGGTATGATGTGAAGTGCTCCATTCTAGCAAAAAAAATTGTTCACAGTGGTGATAACAGGAACTCAGCATCTGAAGTGTTTAATGCCTCTAAAATGCTACCTCACAGGAAGCTATTACACGAAATGGTTATAGATAAGCTGCCTGGTGCCTGAGACACTGTTTTACAATAA